TCTGTTTCAGTGAGTTTTTATCCTGTTTTTAAGACATTTTTTTGATGAATGATAGAAACGTACGCAATCTCATTGCAAACAGTAATCCAAGCAGACATGGTAAGTGCATAAAACAGATTGGGTACAAGTGTCACAGTCTCTTCATAGGCTTCATAGTAGGACGGTAGCCTTGGTCGGCTGCTGGAGTTAACAAAATCACAAACTGAAAGTGCATAAAACAGATTGGGTACAAGTGTCACAGTACTTTAATAATGTTAGGAGAGAGGGAATATAATTTATATCCCTTATAGTAATCAACATGTATGGTAGGAAACACTGAAAAAACTGACGAGAGAGAAGAAAAATTTGCCATTAGCTCCAAATTTGCTCAAAAAATAGCAAAGAATCATATAGATAGCTAAGCTTTTTATTGCATGTGAGCAGGAATTTTTGTCAGTGGGAACGTAGGTGAGCGCAGTTCCGGCACCTCCAGCACTGAATGTATGTAATGGCAAGGGGTGCTGGGGTGGGGAGAGTATATTGCTGCTGGCTGCTGGGGGCTCTATTGTTGCTTGTAGTCGATTTATTTTTTGCTAGGGGGGTCTTATGTTGCTGGGGGGGTCAATTGTTGCTGGAAAGGATCTACTTTTGAGGAAGGAGTCTATTGTTGCTGGCTGCTGGGAGATCAATTGTTGCTGGTGTGGATCTATTAAAACCCTTGTCCGTCAGGTGTGAGTAGAACTGCTTTCAGGCCTTGTAGCTGGTCTGGTTCCTCTCCAAGTTATGCAGGCTGTCCTTCCCCGATGGTCTGCAGGGCAGTGGAGCTCCATCCTTCAGCTCTCCTCTTTCAGCTTTCAACCTCCAGCCCCCTTCTCTGGGATCCCCTCCCAGGCTATGCAGCAGCACCTCTCAGCACTCTATCTTCCACCTGACTCCCCTTCTGGCTGGGTTCTGTCATATTTATGGGTTGGTCTGCCACACTGCCAGGCCCCTCAGCCTGGGATTGGTCAGACTCCCATAAATATGCAGATCAGCCCCTCCTCACCTTCGCCTACTGGCTTCTAGAAGCTTCTCCCTGTTTCTAGAGAAGGGGGTGTTACCAGAGGACTGACCTGTAGAGCCATCCAGCTTGCCTGAAGTCACTATCTAAACCTAGGCTTCCAGCAAGCCTCTAATTACTCTCAAAACCTAGGTACACCAGAGGGCACTACAGTTCAATTACAGCATGATTGTTGCAGGCCTGTCACTTAAAAGTACTTAAGTTAGAAAGAGTCAAGCATCAAACATTTTAAGGAGCTCAACAATGACAGCCACTACCCTCAAGATAGAATCACTTTAAACAAATATTTATAGTACTCAAAGAGACTAGAGATGTGAACTCTTTCATTGTATCTACCTCTAGGGTAAACTGTCTGAAAATCTGCTTTAACTCTAGAGATCTTAAAAAATTAGGCAACAGCAGTTCTCATGGCCAAGGATATACAGCCCATTATGAACTTGTCACATTCTCAGATGATAAAGATGACTAATAGCAGGATAGTCTCAATAAACACTCATCGCTACCATGTACTCCTATTACAGCTTGGAATCACATAAGTTTAACGAGGTAACATTTGGAAATAAACCTGCTTGGGCAGTGTTTCAGCAGAAATTGACTTAATACCAGATGGCATGATCATACTGTATATATAAAAAAAATCACAAATATAGAGGTAAATGGGGGTGGAGTGTATTAGACAATATCTTTCAGGTCACTTAGAGCTTCACAGTTAAAAATTCTATCTATTCATAGACATGGCCTTGGTGTCTTATGTGGCCTTTCCATTTTACCATTGTCACATGTCTGAGATTGTACAGAATTACTCAGGTAAGAAGAAATACAATACCCAAATTTAGAATGCTGTTGGTTGAGAATAGCTAGACTAAAATCCTACAATTTACAACTAAATTCCTTTAATCAAAAGTAGGGTAATATAACAATGTATTCACCTAAGTATTTATTTTCTACAAGTAATTTTTGGAACCTGCATATTTTTGGCAACTGACATATTACAGATATTAGAGCTTACCTGAAAGGATCTTAAAACATAGAAAGTCATCCAGTATTGTGGGAATAACTACAGTAACTCTTGTTAATACAGACACTAAAGTTGGCATCATATTTATTTCAATGTTTTTATTAACAGGTTGCAGAAGTACAGTTAGAACAGTCAAACAGACATTTCACAGAGTATCAACATTACAGAAAGTCGGAATTGGCATCATATTTAGAAGACTTTTAGAAATCAGGTTAAATGGAAAGTTCTTAGACTGTTATTTGGTGGTACCTCTATGGTATCTCTGTAACATGAGATGTCCGCCCACTGAGTTTTGCACATTAAAAAAAAAACTTTTTAAAAATGTGCTACATTCAAATACGTGTCTTTTTCTATTAAAGTGGGCCTGTGTTCCATTTACATATTTTATGGAATCACTAGACAATGAATTGCCTTGTAGATTATGCTCAGAGCTCCAACACTCAATGGGGTGAATTCAATAAAGCTGCTGCACCACTTTTCTGGAGTTAATTTCACTTGTGAATATATATTGCGGAAAATTCATGAAGCATATGTGACTTGTGCACCAAATTCAGCTAGTTCTACAATGTGCCACTTTTACATTGTATAGGATGAGCTAATTAAAACCAACTCACTTTTGATGTACAGAGAGCGAAACTGGCGGAGACAGGTTTTGCAAAACTGTCTCTTGTGCATTCTAAAAGTATTGCAGCATGAGCCAAATTCAAGCACAAGTTTTGGACAGGTATGTGAATTTGGTGCATTCTTCACCACTTTTAGAACTCATGAGAGGCACTTTCAGAAAATATGTCTGCATCAGGGAATATGTCCTGTTACACAAATTTTAATAAGCTCCTGTGGTTAAACACTCAAGCCTGCCGCTCTTGCTTCATTGACCCATTATTATCATGACCAGCACCATTTGCTAACAATGGGGACCAGAAATAAAAATAAAAAATGTTTTATTAGTCCTAATATTACATTCTTCTTCTGTTCTTTTGCAGCCTAATTTTAAATTCTCCCATACCTTTTATAGCAACAAATCCTGTTACCCTTTACCAATAAATTTGCCAAAATGTAGAAAAAATAACAAGAGCCATACCTTTATTATGGCATAGACTGCTTTGTGGAAATCTTTTTATTTCAAATTCTGACAAAATGAAAAAAAAATTAGTTTTGAGTAGGCTAGTTCTTTAAAATGTGATTGATTGAGATGGAAGGATCCCAATAGAGCAATCTTTGCCCGTGGTCTAATTATGTCATAACACAGCTCTAACAATTACATACATTAATCAATGGGAAGTCAGTTTTCCATAGCAATAATTTGTATTTATTTTTAAAGCAAAGTATTAATACCAGATCTGCCCACAAAATGGCAATCAAATAATACTTAAGATAAAATGAAGGTTAAAAATTTCACAACAACAGTAGCTGACAGCAGGCTGTCAGAAGCAACCTGGAAATGTTATTATCTTCCTAAACATGAGAATAGCATGACAGAAGGACTAGTTTTGGACTGCAGGAGGGTTTTGGGTGAAATTTTGGTTGTGACCTCTTGAGGATGCTGGATAGTCAGTTTTCGATACACAGTATTTTGTGCATGAACCTATTAAAATTTAAATTTTAATATGCAACTGTGGACTATTTAATAACATAATGATTCATGCTAAATGGGGCCTATAGGCAAAACATAAAATTAATGGTGCATGTCAGATTTGGGCACACTGTGCTATCTGAGAGAAATGTGGGCACATCTACCTCCAATGATGCTAATTACTATAGCAGCTGGGAACTGCAGGTGCTGCTTTTTTTCACCAACGCATGGACTTCTTCAACTACCAAAGAAATAAAGCAATACCAAGTTGTTTCAATATGTTTTTCTATTATTTTTATCATAACGGAAGGATGTTTCCCTTAAATCTGCAGCATTGACACTCAGAAGTCCTTTACAAAAAAAAAAACTAGAAAACTCCTTTAGGATTCTGCATTTGCATGCCACTGCAGCATGAATAAACTTCATAACTTTGACATACCACCTGTGTGTAAATTCCACCTGCTAGCACATGCCATATTAAAATGTTGCAGAACAATTCTTTTACCATTTATTTATGCATGTTATGTTAAACAGCTAATACTGCAGGGATCCACATCTCCAAAGACTAATTAAAACAACACAGATCATGTGACAATACGGCAAATGAATTTGTAAGGGTTTATACAACCTTTTCAAACAAAATAATTAGCATTTAAAATAGTTAAATTTATATTATGACATGCACATGACATTTTTTTGAATACCAGTCTGTTTATCTGGGGACATGGTTAGTGGATTGTACATTATGATGTATTCAAAACTCTTCGGTTCACAGAAAGAAGCTATTGGATCTAATATGCCTGCAACAATTGGGCGTCTAACTGAGACCATTCTCTAAGTTCACTGAAAATAATTTATTTAACTAATGGACATTAGCTGGTTATACTCTCAGAGCCACTGTGCAACAGTTTCCAGTGTAAACGATTCCGTTATTATTCTGCACTAAATTACTCAGTCTTAGGACCCGTTCACACTTGCAAATGGGATCATAAATAAATAAATAAGTTGCGATAAGTTATTATTTTCTACAGTAGGATAGAAAAATTCTTCCTGATTCCCAAAGGTAATTGGATTTTCCCTGAATCAACATTCTATGATGTTGTTAATTATAAAAGCTAAAATCCAGTTATATTTTGTGCATTTAGGAGTGCATCCTGCCCTTTTTTAACCGCCTCCCGCCAGCCATATAAGAAAATGATGGGCGCAAGGCGGTTCTCTTGTTCTGGGAGGACGTCACATGACGTCCTCCAACTCTAACCGTGAATGCGCAGCTCTGGGGGCGCAATCGATCGGTGGTGCACTGTGTCCCTCGGACACAGCGGATCACCGATCAATGGAAAGAGGTCAGCTCGGTCATGTGATCAGCTGTGTCCAAGCACAACTGATCGCATGTAAATAAGGAAATGCCGTTTATCGGCATTTCTCTCCTCATGAGCTGTCACGCTGATAGCTTGTGAGGAGGGGAGAGCCGTTAATCGGCATTCCTCAGAGGGGACATGTACACTGATCATCAGGGCACTGATGATCAGTGTGCCCCGATGATCAGTGTAGCCCCAGCAGTTCCACCTGTCAGTGTCCATCAATGCCAGCTGTAAGTGCTCATCGATGCCACCTGCCAGTGCCCATCAGTGCCACATCAATGCAACATATCAGTGCCCATCTGAGCTGCCTTTCAATGTCACCTATCAGTGCCAGTCAGTGCTACCTATCAATGCCAGTCAGTGCCACCTATCAGTGCTGCCTATCAGTGCCGCCTAACAGTGCCAGCCAGTGCCACTTAACAGTGCCAGTCAGTACTGCCTATCATTGCCACCTATCAGTGCCATATATGAGAGCTGCCTTTCAGTGCCCATTAGTGATGCCTGTCAATGCCCATCAGTGCCACCTACCAGTGCCTCCTCATCACTGCCCATCAGTGCCACCTATCAGTGACCATCAGTGCAGCCCAGGGGTGGACTGACAACTCATGGGGCCCCCGGGCAATAGGGGATCATGGGGCCCCTGTGTCCTTGCCCAAACTCAAAAAAGCCTATGAAAAAGGTACCAGGGGCATCTCATGGGGCCCCCTACTGACCCCGGGCCCTCGGGCAGTGCCCAAGTTTCCAAATGGTCAGTCCGCCCCTGGTGCAGCCTATCAGTGCCCATCACTGCAGCCTCATTAGTGCACATCAGTGAAAGAGAGAAATCAATTTTTTACAAAATTTGATTGTTTTTGGTTTGTTTAGCAAAAAAATAAAAAACCCAGAGGTGATTAAATATGACCAAAAGAAAGCTCTGTCTCAAAAAAATGATACAAATTTCATTTCAAAGTGTGGCAGCACTGAAAGCTGAAAATTGGCCTGTGCAGGAAGGGAGTATAAGTGCCCTGTAGGCAAGTGGTTAAAAAAAACAACAACTAAGCTGGCCAGAACTAGTTCCTGAAGGAGTCTAGCCCACATTTTCACAGCTCTTACTGTGAAGAAGCCTTTCTGTATGTGGAGGTTAAACTTAATTTAGTCTAGAGATAAAGTGAATAACTGCACCACGTTCACTATATGAACCGTTTATGTATTTATTGTTAAGACAGCCCTGTAGCTGGCCAGCTAAGACCAGTCCTAGGTTGTTAATATGTGTATACCAAACCTGCAATAACCTCAGTATAGTATATATGTGCATATGTTAAAGCCAAAAGCAAAATCATTGCTGTAATTTATGTCTTTGATTGTTATATGACATTTATATATTTATATTGTGTTAGCAGAAGCAGAAAAGGAAAATATGCCTTTAAGAGTTAGTTAAAGATGAGCCAATCACAGACAGCCTCATACTGTACAGAGCCTTAACCAATCCCAGCCAGTTTCACATTTGTGCCTGTGTAAAACTCCCTGCTAGGATTTTCTAGAGACACATGCTCACCAGACAGAAGAGGAAACAGGCAAGGTTCCAATCAGAGAAGCTTTATGGAGCAGAGAAAGCCAAATAGTTCCACCGAATATAACGAACTTACGAACTTACGAATCAAGTCACTGTAGAGTAATCTAACGAATTTATAAATCCAAGTCAATTTATCAATCTATCGAAATATACAGAACGAATTGTAATTGTAATATGAAAGAAATAAGCCATTGTAAGCAGTGTTTTATGAAGAAGATTGAAGTTATTAAAGAAGTTAACTAAAGTATTCGGTGTGCTCTTTAAACCTACTGCATCCATAGAGCGGCATTGGAGGAATTACAGAGTAAAGTCAGTCTAATCAAACAAAGAAACAGCAATTGCATAATTTTTCTAATGCCACAGCGCACTAGGCACCAAAGGGTGCTGCGCCTGCCACAAGCCCCCAATACACTCCTTTGGAGGCTTGAGATAACCATGCAGAAGCATAATTTGGAAACAGGGATAGAGTGCTTTCACCCTATCACACAAATGCCTGAAAAAGAACCTTCATGGCAGAACCTCCAGGTAATATTTTAATGAAAACTGCAAACTCAGTAATAGTAGCAGTCTTCTGGGTCCAGTGCTGAGTGACTACCCTTCTGTATAGTAACCTCAGGGGTGTCGTTTAATCAGCACTGCCAACATTTCCAGAACTCCTTGTATTTTTGTCACAGAATAAAAGGCATTTTCTGACTGGATAAGGTTAAAAAGAGGAGACATAACATCACTTTCCACCTTGTTCAAACAGAAAACGCCTTGTATTTATTGAAAAAAAAAAAATTCCGTAAATTGCAGTAGTAACCCTGTAGTTACCAAGCAGTCAGGCAGTCACTCGGCACTGCACCAAGATGACTGCTGCTGTCGCTGTAGTAACGCCGACTGCTACAGTGATTTTCAGCTTCCACAAAAAGCGTTCAGGCTTGCTTTCTACCTTAATTCTAACACCCAATCCATTTCACATATTTAGTTCCTGAGACCAGAAAATATCTAGTTCACATCACCTCATTCCAGACCATTGTTCCCTAGCTCTTACTTCATTATCGTTATTCACCCTTAGCAAGAACTCCTTGCTGTCACAGCAGAACTCTAAAAGTTCACTCAACAGCAGGTCCACTAGGGAACTTGTCATTTATAATTCCCCACACCTAGAAGAACTAGGGGTTGCACACTATGTCTCATAGGATTTTTACACTAAAGCAGACACAAAAGTTGAAAGCACCAACCTGCCAAAATAGAAAGCAGTCAGCTGAAAACAAATGATAGATTGGGTTAGGAAAAAGAAAATTTGTTGACTTAATATTTTGCTATTGCTTCATACCATATTGCATATATCTTTATATTTGCATATATATTTACTGTTTATTGATCAAATCTTAGAGAGTATGTGACACGATACTGTTTCATCATATTTATTACAGCGGAGTATACATGCTGTGAGTTATTGTGCAGATATTTTAATAGGATTACTGAACAATGGATCTACAAGGCATAAAATATCATAATCTTGCAAACTTTATGACAACACTTGTGATGATGGTTTATTAAACAATTAAATCATAATTTACCACATAAAGTCCAACAATGTACTAGATACTTAAAGCATAAGTGCAGTCAAAATCATTTTAAAAAAAAAGGAAAAATCAGCACAAGGGTCATAACTTACAGTCAGTAGGATATATCCCTTGTTGTGATGCCTCTTCTGTTAATAGAAATCATCCATCAATGTCACCCTGCCCACACTGCTGTAATCTCCCAGTGTTGCGAGGTTAATACATTCGGGGGGCTGTTGCGGGATCTCATCAAGAGAGCCTGACTATGCCCGCCCATTCTGCAGAGTGGCTCCATTCATAGAAACCGTAACTACATCTTCTATGAATGAAATGTGATCTAGATCCAGTTTCATCCATAGACGTTGTAGTACAGCTTCTATGAATGGAGCAGCTGGGTGAAAAGGGCACGTGAATTTAGGTTCACTTGATGAGAACATAGTTACATAGTTACATAGTTAGTATGGCTGAAAAAAGACAAAAGTCCATCCATTTCAACCATTAAAAAAAACTAGTTATAATCTTATACCCACAGTTGATCCAGAGGAAGGAACATGTGCCAGTCCTTTAATTCCATAAAGTGCTGCACGCCAAATACATCATAAATGTTAGAAAGATTTATTGATAATAGCCAACACACCAAACCATCCAATCAAACAGCTTAGGAGTCAGACCTTGGTGAGACAATAGAAGAAGAGTGGACACAGTTGTCAATCATGGTGTACAAGGGAATACTCAGCACCACTCTAGTGGAGGTGAACTGTAATGTATAATATTATACTCGCCGGATCGGAACTGGCGCACCGACGTGCGTTCCACTGGCCAGATGTGACATCACCAGAAACTCCCAGCTGATGCCCAACCCACGGGATGTCTCTAGACTCTGTTTTGTTACACTGTAATTAGCTGCTGCTGTTAGTAGTTAGAATGATATTAAACCCCTTGCTATGAGCATGCAGCTTCTTTATTTTTTAATTCTTACCTATATTCCTCTTTAAGCTGGTGCCATGACTACTGCTCCAGATTTCCTGTTTCAGGGTGGCTTTTTTTCTTGCAGTTTACTATCGAGCCACACTTGCATACAGGGACTAGAGTTGTGTCTCACTATGCTGTGTGCATCAAAAGAAACACAGCCCTGTAGCCTAGAATGGCAAGGCTCACCCCTGCTGCTCCCTCATTCTCCCCCTCACTTCTCCAAGCAATTACCATTAACTCTTTCCTGCAAAGACCAGAAGTTAAGAGAAGGAGCACTGAGTGAGCAGTAGCCAGCAGCAAGTATAAAAAGAAGAAGGTTGTAAACTACAAGTGCTGGGGTATGTTAACAAATAGTTTACTGGAGAATATTTACTTTATTGTGCTCAGTGTATAACAACAATACACACTGAGGGGTTAATACTACTTTAATAAAAGGCTTGTCTTGCAATCTGCTCTTTCACCTGCAGCAGACTTGTTAAGTGGAAAAAATATTTTTTTTTCCATAAAACCATTTCTTTTTAATCACCTTTCTCTATTTACACACACATTTTTTACATCATAGTTTATTTTTTCCCTAGCTTAGCCTAACTGTAAAAATTGATTTGGTCTATAAGGGGTAAACAGTTGACATGGTTAAATATGTAGGCTTCCAGCAGCAAGGCAATGATAGAAAATGTAAGCCTTATCATCAGATTGAGCTGTGCATGTGTATTACTCCATAATTCTAACATTATTTTATTTCTACCTTCTACAGAAAATAAATTGAATATACACAAGAAAGTTCAAGATAAATGATGTCCCTGTGTAGGGATATATGCTGTACTTATATTTCACCCACAAGAGCACCTCTGCGTAATCTCCTGAATAGCATCTTGACTATTCTGAGCACAAGCCCCTAGGCTCCTGATAAGCTCTTGCTTCTGTACTTGCTGCACATCTGTATTACATGCCCAAACCCAGCAGTTCCCCTTGTGCACAGAAAATGGGAGCTTCAACAAAAACACTGGAAGAATGATGTATTTGCTGCAGTCAATAAGCCATTCAGAGCACTACACATCATTGTATACCTGGCATGGAGAGTGCTTCGAAGAAGTCGCTTTCTATTACACCTCCTCAAACTGAGTAAACCCAAGAATTGAAAATGCTTACATAGATGATGGAGTGGCTTGGAGTACAACAGAGCATGCTGATCAGGTGCAGGACTGTCAAACTGGCGGCCCTCCAGCTGTTGCAAAACTAAAAGTCCCATCATGCCTCTACCTTTGGGAGTCATCTTTGTAACTGTCAATCTTGCAATGCCTCATGGGACTTGTAGTTTGGCAACAGCTGAAGGGCCGCC